CGGCGCCTGCGAATACTTGGCCATGCCTCTTCCGAGAAAAGGCGACGCCAAACGTCAAGAAAAACGCGACTCCCATCATTTGTCCGAGAAGAAACGTGTAGTACGGAAGGAAAGATGAGAACGGGAACGAGAGCAGCAAACAGCGGGAACACTGCTGTCACACGACCTGTGCGAGGAGTACGGTAGTAGTTGGAAGTATATCATACCTATACGCGTGCCAGGAATACATAAGTATACCTGTATAACGTACGGTGCTTGCCTCACCTATCAACTTGTGTCGCTCTCTCTCTGTGCGTCCCTCGGCAGACGATCGAGCTAAAGGACGTGGAGACGGTGGAGCAGTACGAGTTTCTCCTCAACGAGATCGAGATCATGAAACAGCTCGACCACCCCAACATCGCACGGTATGGATGGATGCCAACATTGGCATATACGAAGCACAAATGTTGTCGACGTTCCTACTCTGAGAAAGACACAGTCCTTGTCAGTATCCATAGGATTATGCGGTGTGATAAAGTTTTTTTCTGATTCCGCGGTTGTTGTCCCTTAGTCAGCATACCGTCGTGGTTGCACCCGTCCATTGCCATAACCACCTTTTGATTCGACCCGCAGGGTGCCGCCCCCCCCCCCCCCCGTCCTTTACCCCGGGGTGGCCAACCCAAACTTGGGCCCATTTCTTTTTGCCGGGGGGAAAAAGGGTTCCCTACCCCCGACCACTATTACATGGTAATGGACCTGTACACGGGGGGGGACATGTACGCGAGGTACAAATTTAGGAGTGAGGACGAGACGGCGAAGATTGTGAACAAGCTCATCAACGCGCTTCGGTATTGCCATGACCGCAACATTGCGGTAAGTACCGATACCACCCTGGTTCTGAGGTGTCGACGAGAGAGAAGATGGCGGTGTGCGGGCGGACACGGGAGGTTTTTCGAGAGTGGAGAGAGCGGAATCAGGGATACACTTGTCCCTTCGTTGTTGTTATTGTTGTTGTTGTTGTTGCGGTTTGTTGTTTTTTATTGGGAAGAACAAATAACACACACAGGAAGACTAGCCGTTTATATATACCATTCGAAGAGGAAGAGATGGGGGAAGCGTCCGATTTTTACTGGCGCCGTCAAGTTGACGACAGCAGTCGCGCAGCACAGCAGCAGGCGGTTATGCTTCAGCAAGAATTCTTCGTATACTAGTGTCGGGCGTTTGTTTGTCGGTGATAACAACACACATTAGGACACGCACATGGAAGTGGGCCACTTTCAAAAGGTCCGGGGCATTGCGTTGTATTTATTGAGAGTACATAGCCGGGGGTTATGCGACCATGGCATGCCAGCAAGAGGAAGGCTTTTGGAGCCAATGGGACACATGATAGAACCACTTTCGGCTCCGTTCCGTCGACTGCTTCTTTGTGGCGCTGTCGTTGTTGCGTGTGCTCTCCCGTCGCAGCACCGAGATATCAAGCTTGAGAACATCTGCTTCGAGTCCATGGCAGATGACGCGGAAGTGAAGCTGGTGGACTTCGGACTCAGCGCTTCGTTTAAGGTGAACAACACGCCTACAGAAGCACGTCTCTTGATTTTTGTTTTCCCTCTCGAAGCACGGGGTGACACGAGCATGCTACCAAACCGCACCAGTCGAGCAGCATGTAGGCGTCAGCTTCCGCTTTGTTCCCACGCAAACTGCTGTTCTGATGTCAAGGGTCCGGGCTTTACCAACCGTCTTCCATCTGCGCCCACCACGCAGGTCATGATGTACATGCACTAAGCCGTGCCCCTATACTCTGACTTCATATTTGTGTGTTTGATAGCTGATACAGCTGTAAGGAGTGACTCGCTGTATATTCCGGCAGATACATCAAGTAAAAATTTTCGTCCTTGCCCCCCCCCCCCTTTTTTTTTTTTCCTGTGCAGGACGAGCAAATGCGGCACGATTTGGTGGGGTCCTGGGCGTTCATGGCGCCGGAAGTTCTTCAGAGAGCGCACCATCCTCAAGCCTGCGACCTGTAAGAGCTACAAATCAGAACCTATAAAAAGCGTTGGTTGTTGTCGTGTCTGGCGGTGATAACAGCATCGCTGCATCGCTTCGGGGTTGCTGGCGGTTACCCCGCATTTTCTACTTCCACCTGGCGTGATTCAAGCTTTGCGTTATTCTCGGTTATTTCCGTGAGATGGGGCGGGGAAGGGAGGGACGGAGGTTGGGAGGGGAGATTTTATTGACAGGTATCACTAGATGCGCTTTTTTTTTTGTGTTTCGTTTTTCGTTTCTATTCAAGGCGGAAAAAGTGTCGTTGTAGCAATGTCGTTCTATGTGGCCGTTTCTCACGTGCATCAGGCGAAATCATGATACGGTTTTTAACAACAGTGCATCACTCGGCGCGCGCTGTCCCCATCGTCGGACCCCCCCCCCCCCCCCCCCCCCCCCCCCGGGGGCTCGCTGGGG